CACCAACCCATAGTAGACAACCACATGTAGTCACTAAAAGCACCAACCCATAGTAGACAACCACATGTAGTCACTAAAGGCACCAACCCATAGTAGACAACCACATGTAGTCACTAAAAGCACCAACCCACAGTAGACAACCACATGTAGTCACTAAAGGCACCAACCCATAGTAGACAACCACATGTAGTCACTAAAGGCACCAACCCATAGTAGACAACCACATGTAGTCACTAAAAGCACCAACCCATAGTAGACAACCACATGTAGTCACTAAAGGCACCAACCCATAGTAGACAACCACATGTAGTCACTAAAAGCACCAACTCATAGTAGACAACCACCTGTATTCACTAAAAGCACCAATCCATAGTAGACAACCAATTGTAGTCATTAAAAGCACCAACCAATAGCAGACAACCACTTGCAGTCACCAAAAAATACTAACCCAAAGCAGACAGCCAGTTGCCGTTACTAATAGCACCATTCCGTAGCAGACTTGTAGTCACTGAAACCTCCAACCCATAACAGTCAAACTCTGTAGTTACAAAAAGAATAAATCTACGGCATACGACCACCCACCTTTCATAAAAAGCACATACCCAGAGCAGATAATCACATCAGTCGACCACCTGTAGTTACAACTAATTAAATGCACAGCAGACGACCGTTTGTTTAATCGACATGACTTCCAAGAAGTATTCGTGGTTCGTGATAAACTGTAAGATTTTTTTTTAAAAGTAACTTATTCCTATGAAGAACTAAAAAAATTCCAAAACACACAATATGAATATTTTTTTTACCTTCGGTTTCCATTGCCGTTACCCAGAATCCAGTGTCATTTCCTGTACTGCTCGCGTCAAAGATCATGTGAATATAACTGCTGTTGGATATGAAAGGCGATAAAGGAATCTCGTTGCCGGTGTATAATTTGACAATACGGATGTCATCGCCATCAGAAATATAGAGATAGTCTTGATGTAACTGTAATGATAGGTTGTGAAATACCACCATGATTCGTTTCCCTGACAATGTTGACACTTGCCATTCACATTTCACGCCGTCGGGATAATTGTTGGGAAAGTTTGGTGACGTCACGTTCACGGATCCACCGAAGGATATTGTGTATACCGCGTTACAGGGGGAAGGTGTATTACTGGCTGTCGTGACTTGTGCTTCTTCTGAAAAAGGACACATACAATTTATATTATAACCCCGCGTTTATACTAGCGCAATTTATTGTATAGTCCAACTTGAATGTTTTCGACCAATACGTCATTTAATTGCATAAATAAATGCACACGAGTATTCTTGCGTTGGTGCACAGGCATTGTATATAAGCATTTGTTTTTAGTAAATAACATTGAAAGAGCCAACTCATCTTGTTCACGTGATTCAAATAATTTTACTAATAGTGTTGTTAAAGCGGGA